CGAGGGCGATGTTGTTTGGAGGGCAGAAGAAATATAAACGAAATGGGGAGTGTTGCCGAGCCATAACCATGGTAGTTGTGACCGTTTTCAGTCAAACCGGTTGTTGCTGCTGCTGTTGTTGTTGCTGTTGTTGTTGTTGTTGTTGTTGTTGTTGTTTTTGTTGTTTTTTTTATTGCTGTTGTGGTGGCTGTTGTCGCAGTGGTTGCTGTCGTCTGGCTGTTCTTTTTGAAAAAACGCTGACGTGTTTCTCCTGGCGGCCCCACTCCTCTCTCTCCGCTTCAGCACATAACATTTGATGGAATTAGAGAGAAAAAAATTTCCTGTCACCTTCGTTTTCTAGCGTTGATCACTGTTTTCTTCTCCTTTAACGACTTACTAAAAAACGTAAAGTAATAATTACATGTACCTGATATGGTGGGTTTGAGGGACAATCTTCATAACCCACTTTATTTTTGGCATCTGTGCAGTAGAACACGAGTCGTCCAGTTCGCTGTTTAAAAAACTTTCTTAACTAATAATTTATAAATCAGCCACCGGGGCTGACAAACCCAATTATTATTTTTGATACTTAGCTTTATCTGTTAAGTAATTTTAAAATTCAGTTGTTTTTTTAAATTATTTTAATTGTAATTTTAATTGTCAGCTTAGTGAATGATTGATGGGTTGATTGCATGGAAAACCAAAGTCATTTTCTGGTTAAGAATTTTACTCATTCTAATAATCCATCCATCTAAGCCCTACCAAAGCAGTGTCTTCTTGAATTTTCAAAAACGTGTTTGCAATATAATACAGTAGACAAAGTTTCATTTTTTGATGTATTTTTTTTTTTGATGTATTTACAGTACCTATGGGATAATTATCAGTGTGCTTCCTTAATAGTTTTTGGGCGCTGTGCTAATCAGTACAACTCTAAAACCAAGACTTTTGCAGGGATTCCGCGAAAACAATAAAATACGGAGAACGTTATCTTTTTCCTGCACGAGTAACACGCAAAAGTTAGGTATCAGTTGATTTGTGACTATTAGCAGTTTGAAAGAAATGATGTTAGCCGTTTTAGACTTAAGCAAATAGCCACAGATAGCATTGTCGTTTCGACAAATTGATTATAAAATTTAGGCTGGAGTCGCCATTTGTAACTCTCAAAGTAAAGTCAGAGCCTGAAACGACATGGCAACATCTGAAAATTTGCACCAATATTGCGTTATGAGCAACTTTTCCATTTTTTCTGCGTGTTTTTGGTGCACTTTTATCCTCTATCTCTTTGCAGTTAATCTACAGCTCTTTTCTGCTTCTTAGGATAGATTAACCTAAATTATTAGAAAAAAGTTTTTAAAAACCTAGCTAGGGACTTTAGAAGGAAAGAGTGATTAGTGCTTTTTTTCTGCTTTGTTCAAAAGTTCCATTCCAGTTAAAATTCAAAGTTTCAGCTACAGCTTTTTAGGCATTAAATGTTTCGATCAGCAGGGCAAGCTTTATCCATCGGTTTGTGCATAGCTTTTGCTGCACTCGGTCTAGGGCTTACTGTATTTGCGCTTTTTTCAGCTGCTTGGCAAATTGTCGAACTTCGAGAGTACCATATCGAACATCAGGTATAGCAAAAACTGACAGAAATACTTGCTTTTTTTATCTCCTTTTGTTGCCGATAGTTACAGTTTACCAAATACTTTCTCGATTTGTCACTTTTGAAGTGATTCAATTTTTGTCAGTCCACAAATTTCCACTTCAGCATGGTATTTGGCTGTACTGTGTTAGAAGCGCGAAATATTCTGTATCGCCCGGCACAATCTACGATGAGGCTCCGTTGCATTGTGCATACAAGTTTGATGACAGCGCCACTCAAATAATTGATGATACTTTAGCAAGAGTAGACGCGGAAGGTGCTGCTCGAGAAGCGGAACATCATCGTTTTTCAGGTTGGTAATGTTAACTGAAGAATGGACAAACATTTTACAAACGAAGGAACTGGAGCAACCGCTGTAATTATTGCAGCGCTTGCTGTTTTTTTTCAGAAAGCATATAAGTGATTACTTGTTTAGGATGGCATCAAACGATCCTCGTCTTCATTCTGCTTTCGCAGATTTTGGGGTTTGTTGGATTATGTACAGCGTGCTGCGTTATTCGCTCTCATGCAGCAGCTGTTACTTTGCCGACGTCTCTTTTTATATCCTGTAATTTTTTACACTGGTTCATAAAATAGATCTGTTAGTGATCAGGTTATAGCTCAGTGGTTGGGACCTTAGTTATTTCGCTGCCGAGGTCCAAAAAAGATCTTTTTCATTTCACTGAGTGATGGAAATCTGTCGATTTTTACAAGTAAATGAATCATTTAGTGTTGTTATCATTGATCGCTGCTGGGATTTTCTTCCTTACCGCTATGAGAGTAGATATTCGGTTTGCACAGGCCCATGTTGGAACATATGAAGTTAGTTGATTCCGCTTAATTGCGAAAATAGAAAAATAAAAAAAAAAATAATTGCTTGTTTTTATCAAAAGTATTTGAGTTCTTCTAATGATTTATACTTAAGATTCCAGAATGGAACAAGCACACAATATTTTTTTCAGCAACAAATCGGATATGCTTTCTATGTTCACCTCCTTGGAACTCTGTTCATTGGTGTAGCATTCATCATATCGCTTTGCGCAGTCTATAAAACTGTTACACAACGTAGAAGTTCAGCTGCGTTGAGGTAAACAAGAGAAATTATTCATTAGTTGGAAAACCTGTTGAAAAGCTTTTTTATTATTTTCTTCTATTAATCGTTCTACGAACCATCAAGATTTCAAACAGTTGTTTTCGAGATAATTAAGTGTAAGTGAAATTGGTGAACGCTTTTTTCTTTTGCTTCAAAAGACAGTTATTTAGTCTCTTCTGTCTGTATGTTTTCAAACTAGGTAATAAAGTCACCTCATTAAGCCAAAAAATTTCGTTACTCGAGCAACGCAAAGTTCAGGTCTGCAGGAAATAAACATTGGAAGACTAACCGATAGCAAGGCTTATCTTTCAGAATTTTCTTTTTTTTTAACTTACATTGATTCTGCTTTTCAAAAACTGGACTTTTTTTCCTGCAATGTTCGTCAGAAATATCCACATAATTACCGTTATGATTGGTAGCAAAAGCCTTATTCAGGTCTGCGACTCTTTCAACTCCTATATTTAGTTGCAGCCCATCGTATAAACCAGAGACGTCTGGACCACCTTTACTTGAAAAGTATGCAGCCCCGACTCGACCGTCACCACAAGCACCTTACGTGAGAGAGTATGCATACCGAGTTACTAGTGCATAGATATCTAGTTGGTTTTTGTAAAAATCTTATTAATTAAAACATGCAAATAATGTTCTGACATGGAATTAGTGTTTATACATGTTAAGTAATTCCTCTGGTTTTTGGTCGTTTTTTCTTATTTTGTTCAGTTACAGTAGTTCTACTTTCTTCAACTAGCTGTGTAGATGCCACAGTTTAGTGGTTTGATGTCACGCTGTTGAATATACTTAATTATGCGCCCTGGCTATGAATAGTTTTTAAAAGAGTTTGCGCAATTAGACTTATTGAATGTTGTCTTCTTTATCAAAATTATTCAGTGGTTCATTGTAGGTGAACAGAATTTTACTGGCATGAAAACATCTGGACAAAATGAGGCTTTTTAGATGAAAACAGAAATTTTTTGTTACTACTGAATTTATTTGTAACATAATGAATTATAATTTCATCTGTTTATATTTAAAAAAACTGTTTACTACAGTTATTTCTATCTAGATTGTACAGTTAATGGATTGGACTCTCCTCTCATTTGTCATCAGTGAGGAGGGTTAGGCATAGAAGCAAGTGCTGTTTGTACTTTTAAATGCTATACTGCGTACTAATCGAACCATTAACTGTCTCATTTTTTGAACTGCAAAGTTGCTCTTTTTTGTTTACAAGAACTTTACAGTACAACAATGAGTCTAAGACCAGATCAAGTTAACGACCTAAAAATTATTTCGAGTTGCTAATAATTAATTATTTAAAATAGTCGTACAAAGATGGAGTTTTTTTTCACTACTAGTGCTGTCGTAGAGGATAAGTATAGATGGAAGTAACATTTTTTTCTATTTAAGTTCAATCTGTTTACCTTAATGATCCAAATGCTATTGTTGCATTATTCCGCATTATTCTAGTTCAGCTTTACAGTATTTTCTTTTTTAGATAACACGCTTGTCATCTCTTTACCAGTTTCTTTCTTCAGATTCTCGATGACATCTTTGTCTGTGCTTATTTCTTGTCTTCTTAATTTGCTTTGGCTTTGACAAAAAAAGGCTTGGAAAAATGCTAATTGCAAGTGTATAATGAAAGATTAGTGAAACTGAAAAAAAAGACCTCCTTTTTAATTACAGCACTTTTCTAATCCTTGTGTTCTTCATTTGTATAACAAAATAAACTTTGCCTGTTTGTTCGTTAACTGTGTGCGATAATTGTTTACGTTGGCTTTCAAACAGTTGCTCATTGCCACTTTTTTGTCTATAAAAGCATTTTTTTGTTTCGGTGTCGTAAGTAGTAAAAATTTTGATAATCATTTTTCCAATGTGATTTAATATCATCGTGATTTTTACGGTAAAATATTTTTTACTGAAGGGTAAAATCTTTTTTACAACTGAAAATATTGAATTTGTACTTCTTTGTGACAATCGCACGTGTGGACAAAGGCGGAGCGGAAGTAGGATGAGCAAAATCAAAACGAATTTTTTTTGGCTTTTTAAAGTCGTTGAGGCCCTTCAGACGTTCCTTTTTCTATCGTACTAATAACATCAAAAGCCTGCTTATTTCAGCTTACTGTTGACAGCAACAGAGTGTTTCCATTTTTAAATGCTCAAAGTTTTGCAAAATACTTTTAGTTATGTTATGATCAGCGACAATTTTTAGGAAAATTTCTACTTGCACTAAACCGACGCCAAATGAAACGCCCAAATAACAGTTTTTGATCAAGTACCTTGCAGTTTCTGGGCGTTCTTCATTTTTATTTTTTGCTACTCACGAGTTCTTCCCATATCTTAGAAACGGCTTATCAGCATTATGCCTCTTTTCTTTAGTTTAGTAGTTATCTCAGGATTTTTCCTAATGGACAAAGTGTTGGGAATATAGCTTTCTTGATGCATTTAATGATGGAACAATTTTAATTAATGCTCATCCCGGTATCTTACTCATCATACAAATTTAATAATGAACCCACTTAGAAACGTTTCACTTTATCATTGCGTTCTCAGAATGATCAAATTCTCTTCTCCATTCTCTGAATAACAGAATATCTATGTCCCTGATTTCAAAAATTAGAACAATTAAGTTAGACTGAGGAGTTCGTCTTAAATATGTGGTTGTTTCTTGCATTCTTTTAGATTTTATTTTTAAGCCAGAAATCTTAACTTTATCTGCCCCTTCAAAACTGATTCTTGCGAAATATTCCTTCCCGTACTACCTTAGTTTTGAAATCAAGTTTTTTTTTTTGGCAAAAACGATTGCATTTCTTGCATTAGGCTGAAGCTCACCAATTTTATACTTTATTCCAAAAATAGCTTTAAATATTGTTTTTGAAGTAATCAGGAATATTGCCGGACTGGGGGACTTCTTAGTCAAAGATTGCAGCTTAAACCTAGCTGCTAAGAAACTGATTACAGCGTTCGAAATCCCTGTTAACACTTCGCTTTTATTAATTCTCGAGACCATATTAGGAAAGCATCATATTTATTTTTTGATGAAGTAAATTTTGGTAGATGGTGGGAGTTGATTTCAAATGAAGTGAATTTCTATTTTTTGCTGCTTAGCAAAAGCAGGAAAACTTGCGTACAATTTAGAACTTGGTAGCAGTAGACGTCTTCTTTTCATCTTGTTATTTGGTTATTTTATCCAGAATCAAAGCCTCATGCTTTGCAAGTTGTGTCGTATCGTTATCATCAAATCTCAATTTATTGCTCCCATTGGTTGATTTGTCAATAAAGTGGCTTCATTAAAATGAGTCACCGAAACTGTGGCAACAGATCTTGGCGTTTGCATGTCAGAAAGATTCTGCAGCTGTGCAAAAAAAGAAAAAAAAAAATTGGTTTGTACTGGAATTGAAACTTTTAATTCCAGGGAACAATGAAGTTTCCGGGACTCTATGTGGTGTTTTTGATTTTATCAATTGTAGCAACAGTGATCGGCCTTTGTTTGTCTATATTTTCTGTGTATTCCCCTGCATGGCAGGTTGTAGAGCTGCGGGAATTTCAAGCCGAACATCAGGTAGCTGTTGCAACTTTCTTCTTTGGACTTAACTGCCATGCACGAATATTATTTAAGGAGCATTTTTTTTTTTTTTATTTTTTTTGAAGCATGGACTCTGGCAAGACTGTGTCCGAGATATGCGTCACTTAACCGCTGCATCAGGAATATACGACGAAGCCGAACTACACTGCATGTACAAGTTCGACGACAGTGCTCAAAGAGCTATATTGGAAGGTATGGGCGATCATGATGCCGCAGCACTGGAACGAGAGCGCCATCTTTTTTCAGGTCATTGATGATTTTTCCGAACTAAAACTTATGCGTATTGCTGATAGAAACTTTAAAGGTTTTCTCAATCTTATAAATATTTTTCAGAATTACGCATATGACAGAAGAAAGTGAGAAAGCCTTCCTAGCAGTTTTTCAATTTTCAATTTGTTTTTTTTTTTTTTTTATTCAGAGGCTTGTAAATACTAATTACCGCGGCTGTGTAATATAGCTAAACTGTAACAATAAGTATTTTAAGGATGGCACAAATTACTTCTTTCACTGATTATTATCTCAGAAATCATAATGCTCAGTGGGACGTGTATAGCTGTTTGTGTTTTGAGATACTATCCTGCCGTGTACATATACGGTGTTCTGCTATTCGCTGCTCGTAAGTTTACACCGCACTTTATTTCTCCAAAATAAAGCGTCATAATTTAGTTTGTAACAACAATGAGCCTAAAATCTAAACTTCCTTTCTCTTTTAGTCCTTTTATCACTGCTTTCTGACGGGGTTTTTTTCATCGAAGCTATGAGGGTGGACGTTCGTTTTGCCCAAGGCGCTGTAGGGACTTACGAGGTAAGATCAGTCTCAAAACAAAAAGCTTATAAAATTACATTACCTGTTGAATGGATAAATGTTGACTTAGATAGGTTAAAGGATTGCAATCATTTTTACAAACTAAATGATAACCACTGATTCGCGGTAAAGTGGGAAAAAGTTAAGGTTTTTTTGAATTGCCATTTAGGCTAAGTTTAGAAAAAATGGGTTTTTTTTAGCAGCAAATTGGATTTGCCTTTTATCTTCACATCCTCAGTACAGCCTTAATTGGTGGTGCGGTCGGTTCAATTATCCTTACAGTATGCACTCACAGACGGCGATATCGCGGAACGAGGTAAAAGTATTGGCTTTTTTGGGAGTCCGTAACTGCTCTTTTTAATAAATTTCTTTTCTAACTTTTCCTTCTCTGGAAATCTGCATCAGCTTGAAGTATTGTAAAGGGACGAACAAAAAGTATTTTGGAAAAAAACTAATAATGAATCAAATGTAAGAGAGTAAAAGGAACCGATGGGAATCATTGTGCTTGTTCGTATGAATAGCGGTAAGATTTGTAAGCTGCGGTGGGAAGAAATTTATAAAATCGAAGAATCGACGGTAAAAATTGAGACCAAAGTTCCCCGTCATCACTTCAAATAGTTCTGTTTCAAAATCTACTATTTTTTGATAACAGTTATTAGGTAGAAGCTTATTTTAATTTTGTGGTATAATAACTATTCTTGAATTCTCTTCTCGTGTCAAAAAACAACCATTTTAACCGTATCTTTTTTGAAGAGGTCTACCGTACTCAATTTAGACCGAAAAGATCCCATTATATACCTTGTAAAAGGATATTTTGCAGTCTTGCGGACTTCCTTGTTTCTTTGTTTTAGCAATTCTTAGAGCAATGTATCACCTTGTTCGTGCACGTCTATGCAGGAACCTACAGAACTAATTACAGCTGACCGCTTCGTGGTCGAAATCTGTTTTTTTTTTTTTTTTTTTTTTTTTTTTTTTTT